AAAAAAAAATACAGAATTACTGAACAAAAGTCCTTGGTTAGCTCTAGCTTAGGTTTAGGGTAAGGTTTGGGTTGGGTTTAGCGATGAAATTAATGATTTAGTCTCGGTACGTAAGCTAATTATTTGAAAACAATGAATACTCACGGGCAGGTTGACACAGCCTAAAAAGTTTGATTTGTAATTCATATGATAAACTTAAGATTTAAGTATGTCATTGCTAAGCTTTGTACATTATTATCTTACCTTGAAGTCTAAAGCGGAATAGAAACCGTCCATTTGCTTGAAGTTTATTTATAAGGCCGTGAAAGCTACTTTTAGCAGAGACGCCATGTTGACACTTACTCGAAGCGAAAACCCAGTCAAAACTTATTGCAATCGGTACAATTCTACGTCAAACAATATAATTTTTACAATTTTTTCTCCTCTTGAATCCAGGTTTTTAAGTTAGTGCGATGGGTCAGTTGTTTTCGGCAAATATCGATTGAATCCACAGCATATAACACAGGAAACCCATCATGGCGAACCTTATTTTATCAAGTAAAAGAATTTCTTAAAAACAAAACTTTATGCAGAAAGATGTTTGTTATTATTAGAAAAAGGAGAAAAAGAAAAGAGAATCTCCAAAACATCAAAAAGAAAAAAAGAAAAAAATGTCCTGTCTCAAGCTGGACTCGAACAGCGGTGCTCCCTATAAAACTACTAAAATACGCCAAGTTTCATCAAAGTGTCACCGTGGCACAATCGGTTAAGGCGCTTGGCGTTCAATCCAGAGGTCGCGGGTTCGAAACCTGGTGGAAACATGACATAACACAGGAAGACCATCTAAATTAATTTTCTTCAAAATGCAAATATACTGAAGTTACTATAGTAACCGAAAATTAACCGGAAGTTTACAGAAAACGTAACAGGAAGTTTACAGGAAAGTGASCGAGTGACAGCYTGTCCCCTCACAATAACTCTACGATTGCTTACGCAATCTCCGAGTTAAAAATGTCTCATAATTTGTGCAAAAGGCTGTATTTATTGGTATTTATTTATTTCTTGGTATTTATTTATTTCTTGGTATTTATTTATTTATTTGTATTTATTCACAGCTGTTTGCAATAATTCTGACCCCCCTACCCTAATATTCATATATATCAAAGTAGCCTTAGAAATTATGGGATACCAATGGTGATATTTTTTTTAGAAAGTACTCATTCTGGACAACTCAAAAAATATATCAGTCATGATATCCCATAATATTAAAGGTCAGTTTGATATATATGAAATATGGCAGAGGGGGTCACAATTATTGCAAACAGCTGTATTTATTTGTATTTATTTATTCATTTGTATTTATTTTTTATTTGTATTTATTTATTTGTATTTATTTATTTATTGGTATTTATTTATTTATTTATTTATTTTTTCGTATTTTTGGTATTTTCATTTATTTATTTTCGTATTTATTTATTATCGTATTTATTTTCACCTGGATTTAAAGACTTTACTTCTAATAAAATAGTGTTTCAAAAATTATACTGATCTGTGCGAATTATTTTGGAATCTATTGCCCGTTCCGAAATTCAAAAAGGGACTGGTGACTAGTCACAAACTCGATACCGTTTGAAGCATTGGAATAAAAGATACAACAAGGACAAAAAAAAATAGTATAGTTGCTCATTTTGAGCGTATTCGGATTAATATTTACAAAGTTTGTCATGTTATGGAGTGTTTAAGTAATTAGTATTTTAGTAATCTTTGATTTCACCTGTTTACACGTCAATCGTAAGTAGCCAATCATACATTTATCCCATTGTAAATTTATTTACTTAGTAATATGACCCCTTAGCGTCACCTCATATAGTTCAGTTTTCGGAGTTTCTATTGAATTTTTTGAGTTCTTTACCGGAGTTATTTTGGAGGTATTACTGCAGTTATTTTGGAGCTATCAGGAGTTTGAGTGTTTGATATCTTTACACCGGGACGAACGTAAGTTATAGCTGGTATTTTCCTTTCATTAGTGTTTGTTTCTATAGTTTAATTGTTAGTCTTTTCAATAGTTTTCACCGAATTGTAATCGTATTGTACTGTTGATTGGAGTGGCTCGAGTGGAGTGGTCGTCTAATAAAGCTTATCTTGTCAACAAACAACGAGTATTTCAGTTCTGGTTGGACACTAAGCGTCCCTGCCCGTGGCGACGCGACAAAGTTACAAGCCTTTGAAACGCGAAAAAATTACAAAGAATGTATGGTGCACTTGAGCAGCGTCCCCAAAAACCATACATTCTCTCTTACAAATTACAAATTTGAATGAATATTCCTACGTACTAGGTGAGTATTCAACCAACTATGCTCAAACTTGAGAAGAACACTGATTGTAGTGTGGTCTTTCATGTAGTGAGATTAAATAAATTTTCGATAAGTTTTATTTTTAAGCATTGTCATACTTGTTCCCAGTCTCCTTTTGAATTTCGGAACGGGCAAATTGCTTAATGGCAACTGAATTGAATGATTCTTGTGCCGGACGGTATAAAATTCTCCAGATTTTAGTGTATCATCATCTTTTAGCTGCCATGATATAATTTTAAAGCATGTTATCTCTTTTAGCTCTACCGACAGTTTCGAATCCTCCTGGTAGAGTCGATGTTAATGAAGGTTCTAAAGTAAATCTGGTATGTAACGCGACAGGAACTGGTCCTTTCACAATTGTTTGGAATAAGAAGTATTCCAGTCAAACTTGGACCAGCAAAAACTACACAATAGAAAGTGCTTTAGCCAGTAGTGATCATTATAGTAAATTCACCTGCACTGTGACTGATGCCAATGGCTGTAAAAGGACTTCACCAGAAACAATTGTCTATGTAAACTGTAAGTAATATAAGGACACTGATCATATTTCAATACTTACAATGAAACTAAGCAGCTATGGTCAATTTGCGGCAAGGCTAAACTGACATACTAAGGATTTCACATAGGGTACCAAATTGTAAAATCAAGCCGCCAATTAAAAAAAATGGCATGGCGACGCAACTCGAAGATTTCAAGACAAATATCCCGTAGACATAAATCTGTATGAAGCCTCATACTTTGTTCAGATATGGTCTAATCTCGAAAAAAATCTATAAAATGAAAATATTGAAGAACTTGAAATTTTGAATTTAATAATTTATATACATACCTAACACGTACTTAACGATATCGACAATGAATTATCAACACCATCATAAATTCGGGGATGCACGTATGTTTACATAAGAAATAAGTGACTTATTAACTAGTCCCTCGCACACATCATCTACATCTATCTCCCTCCTATAACTCTTCGATTGCTTCGCAATCTTCGAGTCAAAAAGGACTTTTAAAAATTGTAATAAAAGTGAGAAAAAGTCAATGTACCTCGAACCTATATGAAAATTGATTTCCTATTCACAATGTTTTATATCCTAGGAATTAAATAGGCTATTCCCGCTTTCACTTGAATTTTACAAAGAATTATCAACAAAAACATGAAAAAAGGGTATTTTCAGTCCCATTTTTCGCATTTTATATTTAGAGCAGTTGCAACTACTCAAACGTCACATCCAGATTTTATTCCAATTCCAAATTTATTCTTCTTGACCCTTGTAACCCATCTGTTTTTGCAATTCAACGAGTGTTTTATTCCCAGACCTATTTTAACCCTACTAATCCTTATAGATTCCGAATTGTTCAGCACTTTTACGTCCGCCTCCGCTAATATTGATCGAATCCCACTCATTTCTCATTTCTCGGTTTTATTCTGTCGCATCACTGCAGACCAACCTCTGCCGTTTTAAGAGCCCAGTACAACAAATACACATGCACGATCTAAATAAATGCATTATGGAAAAATAGAAGTTCGAAATAGGTCTTGCACTACCCATGCGTTAAAAATATAATTATAAATTTTTGTTCTTGCTTTCGACAGACAAGCCGAAAAACACCAATATATACACTTCAGCGGGTACTATATGTGAGACTGGAAAAATTTATCTCAGTTGCTATGCAAGCGCCAGACCATCTGTCAACGAATATCGATTTATTTTGAATGGAAAAGTGGTGCAGGCTTCTTCAACTCGTGTAATTAATAAACAGAATACCTATCCAGCGGGCTCCTATAACTGGACATGCTCACCGAAGAATACAGTTGGTTTTGGACTAAATACAACAAAAGAAATCATTATCAAAGGTATATTGTACGACTATCAGGTTATCACGTCCTTGAATGCACTTTTTAGCAGAGGATTACACTAGAGACACAACATGTCATATGTAGCAAAATATAGAGAAATGAGAGCGAGTACGAGGAAGGAAAACATCCTCGCAAAAAACGAAGTTTTGGATTAAAAACGAGGAGTCATGATGGAACGAATACAATCACGATCCCTGTCGTCTTTCATGCAAAACATAGATTTTTACGAAAGATGTTTTCCTTAGGACTCGTTCTCATTTCTCTGTATTTTAAAACGGATATTATAGCAACATATGATATGGGTTATTTGACATATCCATATGAAAGTCATTGCATACAAAAGCTTGTATCAACATCCGGCGATCACTCCCCCAACAATGCMTGACTATAAATCGCACCCGATTTGTACGTTTTTGCTCATTTATCCAGAATCGGCTCTACAATGTCGAATACTAGCATCGGATTTATAAAAAGGGATATTTAAACTTTAGGAAAATCGTATTTATTTTGAAAAAGTATAAAAAATAAGGGGGTCAAAATTCGATTTTCTGAATCAAATTTGCGTACCTACACAAGACGTTTTGAGCTCTTCTCACCACCTTGGGTAATACATCCTTAATGCAGGCCCATACAGTAATACTACCGCAAGATTCTAAAAGTTTGCTTAAATTTGCTAGATTTTGATATATAATTTGCCTATATTTTCGAWACTTTTAAGGGGTCAAAATACGYTGAAAGCTCGAGCTATTTCATCATATCAAAGTCATTGTTTACAAAAGCTGGTATCAACTTCCAGTGATCACTCCCCAACAATGCCCGAATATAAATAGCACCCGATTTGAACTTTTTAGCTCATTTATTCAGAGTCGGCTCTAAAATGTCGATTATTACCGTCGGATTTATAAAAAGGAATATTAAAGCTTTAGAAAAATCGTATTAATTATGAAAAAGTATAAATTTAAAAAAAAAAATTAAAAAATTCGTTTTTCTGAATCAACTGTCGCGCACATGCACAAGACGTTTTGAACTCTTGTTTCCACCTTGGGGAAAACAACCTGACCGCACTCCTTTACGCATAACTGCGCAGTATAATTTTTTTTGTCCGCGGCAAACTGGACGCTAATTAGAGCAAATGTTCAAGTTTATAGAGAATGACTTTGATATGCTATGATAATAGTTCTATTGTCCTTTAGTTGAATATAGAGTTGAGAGGGAAGGCAAGAGGGAAAATTTTTCAACACTATATAAATGACAGTGTATGTACAGATTTAAATGTTCAAAGTTTCCCCGTCACCAAGTTTCGAGATACGCATTATCATTAATTTAAKATTTCTTTTAYGTCTTCATRTCATGACATCTCRCTCCAGTTTTTCTSCTAATTTATGATAAAATAGAAAAATTTATTTCTTAGCGCCTCCAAACATTACATGGATCAGTGATAATCAGACGGTTGCTGAGGGATCAAAGGTGATTATCTCATGTAATGTGACCGGAAGTGATCCCATCACAATTACATGGAAAAAAGTTGGAGGCTCGTCATCTCTTGGAAATGGTCCGAATCTCACGCTCGAAAATGTGACGACCGCAGCCATTGGT